GAATTTGGCCAGAGGTACTCCTGGTGGCTCAGCAGTAAAGAATCCACCTGCAACACAGGAGATGCAAGCTTGATCCTTGTGTTGGGAAGCTCCCCTGGAGGATGAAGTGGCAACCTGCTGCAGTATTCTTGCCGGGAAAATCCCATGGACAGAGGACCCTGGTGGGTTACAGTCCGAAGGGTCACAGACACGACTGAGCGCCTGAGCATGCACATTGTAAGAAGCCAAGAGTCAGAAGAGACTTTTAAGTAGGCACCTAAAAGAAGTTTTTACGTATGCTCATGTGTTTATTTCAGAAAGATCACAGTAGGTAACCGTGTGGAGGAAAGACTGGGTATATCAGATAAACAGCAGTCCAAGTATGAGTTTACCTGCCATAATCCCAGTGAACCTCATTAACACTCTGTTAAGTATTTATACTTTATTAAATACTTTACAAGCTTACTGTTGACCACAATCAACTTTTTAGAGAGATGTTGTTCAGTCACTCAGCCATGTCCGACTCTGCAACCCCAAGTTCTTCACTGTCTCCAGGGTCCCATGTCCTTCACTATCTCTTGGAGTTTGCTGAGATTCATCGTGGTTGATGCTATCTAACCATCTCATCCTCTGCCACCCCCTTCTCCTTTTGTCTTCAATCTTTCCCAGCATCAAGTTCTTTTCAGAGAGATTACCAGCTGGTAAATGGAGCCATAGGATCTGAACTGAGGTTCAGATATCTTAAATACGGCATATACTTTCCAGGGAGAAAGATAATTTGGTTTTCAATTAAGCCCATGACTGTGGGAATAGAGAGCCAGTTATCAACCTAAACATGTTTTAGAAGAAGAACCAAAGGGATTTTTGAGTTCTTGGGTAGTAAGGGAAAGAATCTGAGCATGTAGAGTTGGTGATTTTTTTTTTTTTTTGGTTGGCTTCCCTCTGCACAGGCAAGGCTGGGAGAAGGAAGATCATGAATTTAGTTTTGGAAAGATGGTTCTGAGTTGCCTATGGTGGACAGCCAGATGTAAATGGTCAATGCAGATCAGTATATATTGTTCTAAAGTGCTGGAAAGAAATGAGATCCAAGATGGAGTGACTGGGAGTATGAATATGGCTGAAAATCATAAAAGGGAATGAAATAACTCCAACTCTAGGAAGGTGAGACAGGATGGGAGTTGGGTGTGCTGGCACATGCACTTAGACCAACATCTTTTAGAGAAACAGAATATAAAGACACTGTAAGGGTCTAAATTAATTGCATAAATGCAGGAATGGGGCAAATATTAACAATAAGATACAAAAAAGCCACAAATCAACTGCCATTTCTGAGGTGCCAAGAGCAAAACCAGGATTCTGTGTGTGATCCTTGCACACACACAACCACCGAGGGTGGGCACAGACCACCAAATCCACCCCTCCATCGGCCCCACCGACCTGCCCTCGCGGCCTTTTATGAAACTGACTCTTCCCACTCCCCCTCCAGGAAGGGGCCAGGGCACCTGTTTCTTGCTCTCACTTCTTGCAGGTGCAGCAAGAATCCCAGTAAAGCCATGTCTGAATTCTTCATCTGGCCTCTTACCAGTTTCTACTGATTATGAGACAGGCTGGGACCTGAAATCTGGGACCTGAGACCCTTCGTTGCAGTGCTCGCACATGGACAAATGTCTCCTTGTGCAACAAAATACAAAAAAAAAAAAACAAACCCATAAGGAATTAAAAACCGTGTGCACGTGCAGTTGGGAAAAAACATAAACAACAAGGTGTGTATACACACACAGAATTCCACTTCTGAGGACTCAGGAGCAAAAGCAGGGTATCAGCAGGGTAGTACATAATCACCCAGCAAAGGGAGGAACAGACCACCTAAGCCACCCCTGTCCTGACCCCTAGACCCTCACCCCATGTGGGAAACCAGCTCGCCTGACTTAGGGAGGGAGCAAGCAAGGACACCTGTTACTTGTTTTTGCTCCATCTTGTTGCAACACAGGTGCCAATAAAGCCTTGTCTGAATTTCTTATCTGGCCTTTTAGGAGTTTCTATTGATGAGAAGTCCAAGAACCCTGGCTGGTAACAATTAGAGTTTAAGGACCCTAGTGGTAACAAAGGCATCTTGTTGTGTTTTAGTCACTTTTGAGTCGGACTCTTCGCAACCCTATGGACCATAGGCCGCCAGGCCCCTCTGTCCCTGGGATGCTCCAGGCAAGAATACTGGAGTGGGTAACCATTCCCTTCTCCAGGTGATCTTCCTGACCCAGGGATGGAACCCGGGTCTTTCACAGTGGTGGGCAGATTCTTTACTGTCTGAGCCGCCAGGGAAGCCGGAAGACATCACGGCTCAAGACAATTTTTTTTTTTTCATTTATTTTTATTAGTTGGAGGCTAATTGCTTTACATCATTGCAGTGGTTTTTTTTCATACATTGAAATGAATTAGCCATGGATTTACATGTATTCCCCATCCCGGTCCCCCCTCCCACCTCCCTCTCCACCCGATCCCTCTGGGTCTTCCCAGTGCACCAGGCCCGAGCACTTGTCTCATGCACCCAACCTGGGCTGGTGATCTGTTTCACCCTAGATAATATACGTGTTTCGATGGTGTTCTCTTGAAACATCCCACCCTCGCCTTCTCCCACAGAGTCCACAAGTCTGTTCTATACATTGGAGTCTCTTTTTCTGTTTTGTATATAGGGTTATCGTTACCATCTTTCTAAATTCCATATATATGTGTTAGTATACTGTAATGGTTCAAGACAATTTTTAAGTTGCAAATGTCAAAGGTGACTTGGCTAAGATGATAGAGGAACCAGGAGAGCTACCCGAGAAGCCTCAGGATGGAGGGAGGGCACCAACATTGTCAAACGCTGCAAAAACCCAACAAGCAAACAGAGCACACAGCTGTTAACAGTGAAGGGAGGCGGCTTCATACAAAGCCCAAGGATGAACTTAAAACTGGGATTTTATTCACAGTCAAGGCCAGTCGACTTGTTTATCCTAAGAGGCCAATGCGTGTTCTCCTTCACCGCCCTGCCCTTTACTCCCTTCTATGTGGGGTAAGTCTCCTTCACAAATCGCTGATTCGGGGGCCTCACTTCCCACTCCTTTCCGCCTCCCCCTACTTGCTACTTCCCTGGAGACCATCCCTTAATTAACCCAGGGAGAGAGGGCGTTGCGCGAGGGAACAGAGTCCACCGGAGCCGCTGCTGGAGAGGCGCGAGGGCTGGCTGAGCGGGCCCGGAGAGAAGCGCTGAGCAGCCGCGAGGTGGGGGCGATGGGCGGCTGCCCATCTCGGGACCCGGCCTCGGGGGCGCAGCGCGTGTCGCGCGAAACTTGCAAAGCGCGGGCTACGCGGCGGGGGCTCAAGGTCTGGGTGGCTTCAGGGCTGCGCGCACGCCTGGGCGGCCGCAGGTTCCTCCTCTGAGCACCCATCGCGCTTTGGCCTCCAGGTCTCTGATCTTTCTTCCTTTCTCCACCAGTCTAACCATTCTTAAAAGCCCCGTCTTTTCCTTTAAACTCTGTTCTTTCCTCCTCTGGTCAGAGGTTCCGGACTGTCGCTAAAACAGCGCGCCTCGGGGCTGCTGCTATTTTTTTCTTCACTTTGGGAGCAACCGCTGAAACTTAAGAGCTGAATTTGAGTGGGGGTGGGGGCTTCTGTCCTGGAGAAGGAAACGGCGACCCACTCCAGTATTCATGCTTGGAGAATCGCATGGACAGAGCAGCCTGGTGGGCTACAGTCCATGGGGTCGCAAAGACTCGGACACGACTGAGCAACTAACACTGGGCCTTCTGTGATGGCGGTAAAGAATCTGCCCGCAGTGCAGGAAACCCAGGTTGGATCCCGGGTCAGGTGGGTCCCCTGGAGAAGGGACTGGCAACCCACCCCAGTACTCTTGCCTGGAGAATCCCAGGGACAGAGGAGCCTGGCGGGCTGCAGTACATGGGCTCGCAAAAGAGTCCGACGTGACGGCTAACATACTTTTGGAATTGAACAGGCAGCTGGGAGCGATATTTGCACTTTGGTGTTTTTGTATAGCACACAAACCTTCGAAATTCTACTTGACTGCTTAGCTCTAGGGGAGAGGGGAGTTAATCCCACAGCCCCGCCGAGGGAACACTCATAACAGGCTGCTGAGAAAAAATGAAGAGGGTTAAAGCTTTGCAGTTTTGTGGACGAGCCTGTGAATTGAATGTTAGGTATTTTTTTTAACCAGGCTGCATTTTATCTGAGGCGAACACCTGCTTAAGATTTAAGAACACCTACAGAGGATTTTGTGGGAAGAAACCTGCTGTAAAAAAAACGGTCTTTACAGAGCTTTAAGATTGATCCTGGGGACCTATTTGCTGTTAATGGTATTTCTCAGTTTTAGACCTGTGTATTTCTTTTCTTATTTTTTTTTTTAGACCTGTGTATTTCTTTCTTTCTTTTTTTTTTCTTCTTTATATCTCAAGTTGAATGTGAGAGTTAAGTCCCTAGCGATGGCGGTTCCTGGGAAAAATTACACAAGCTTTTTGGATCAATGCATTTTTAAAACAAAAGAAATCGAATACAGAATTGTTTTTCCCATTTAAGTTTCAATTTCATCCACAGTATTTGAACTATTTTTCAAAAAGATGGTATAATTTTAAAATATGAGGAATTACTTCCAGCAAAGTAGCAGTGTGTAGGTGTTCTAGATTTTTATTAATTAAGCTTAAATACTTGCACACAATGCAATTTAATTTTGTATAATTGCTGATAATTCGATTGTTAACACCTCCTTTGTATTTAATTATGGCAGCTCCTAGAAGAAAATTGTTTGGCTTTTTGTCATTTGTTGAAAAGTATTGATGTATCCAGTTTTATTGGGTGGGCAATATCATGAAGCACTTACTTATCAATGCCTTGATGTTTGGTTGGATGAGCAATCTAATTCGTAAAGACCCGATTTTAGAGTGATACATACACAGTCTAAGGAATGTTCAATAGTTTAGTTTTGAAGCTAAAAATACACATGTTTAATTGAGCTGAATATACTTTTGCAGATGGAGAAATCAATTATTCTACTGCTCTGCATACAATATTTTGTTAAGGTAAGACATTTTTTTCATGTAAACTTTTTGGAATAACTAATGGGCAAGAGGTTATCACATTGAGTCTATCTATTTTGGAAAATAGAGTATAAGAGAAATAACACTAAATATCAGATTTAGTACCTAAGAAAAAATATCTTTGCTAGGTTGCTCTGCAAATATATGCATTTTGGTGGCAGCTGTTTTCACTGCTTGCAAATTGTTTGGGGGGATATTCACTGCAGAAGGAGAGATCAGAATTTGGTAAAAGACAAGGTAACAGTGAAACATTTTAAAGTTGTTTTGGTAGGAAGTTTGATGAATATATCATTCTCTTGAGAGTTGAATTCTTATTTGTCATCTAGGGAACATAAAGGTCTCTGAAAATGTGGTCTGGCTGTTTTGCCTCAATTGCTAATATTTTCTTTACCTACAAATGAACCAAGGTTTTAAAATTAGTCAAGTATCTTGCACTCAAACTTAGGTTCCTTCTAAGTATTGTCAAGAATCTGTTATCATCAAGGCACACAGTGTGACATGCTAAGACGGTGTGCTGGGACTTCGTCTCTTTATTCCCGTTGACCCCAGAATCACTGTTTCCTACTGTGCTGTGTGTGTTAGCTGCTCAGTCATGTCCAACTCTTTGCAACCCCGTGGACTGTAGCCCGCCAGACACCTCTGTCCATGAAAATTTCCAGGCAAGACCACTGGAGTAGGTTGCCATTTCCTATTCTATGGGATCTTCCTAACCCCAGGATCAAATACGCATCTCCTGCATTAGCAGGCGGATTCTTTACTACCAAGCCACCTGGGAAGCCCATGGTGTTTCCTAACAGGCATCTAAAATTTGCCTGCCTTTCTTTTACTTTTTGTAGTTGATTTACAGAGCTGTGTTAGTTTCTTCTGTACTGCAAAGTGAATTGTTTCTACATACATCCACTCTTCTCTCAAGATTCTTTTCCCATATAGGCCTTTACAGAGTATTGAGCAGAGTTTCATGTGCTGTATAGTAGGTCCTTATTAGTTACCTTTTTTGTATATAATGATATATATGTCAGTCTCAACCTTCCAATTTATCCCTCCCCAACCTTTCCCCCTTGTAACCATAAACTTATTTTCTACATCTGACTCTTATTACCGTTTTGTAGATCAGTTCATTTGTATCATTCTTTTTCTGATTCCACATATAAGCAATTCTCATACGATATTTGTCTCGCTCTGACTTCTGTAACTCAGTGTGATAATTTCTAAGTCCGTCCATGTTGCTGCAAATGGCATTATTTTGTTCTTTTTTTCATGTTTACTTAAGTTTGTCCCCAAACTGTGCTTATAAATAGTGTATCCAATGGATGTTATTTAATTCATGTGTAGAAATTAATGTTTCTAAAATATTTTAAAATTATAATTTGGTATAGTCTAGGTTTCATTTTTGTAAATTTGCTTATGAAACAATAACCAAGAATGCACTTTAATTTTTCTTCAGCATTATTTTTCTTTCTCATTTCAGATCTCAAAAAGTTTCCACTATATACCAAAGGATAAACAAACAACAGTTTTTATTGAATGGGATGAATTTCCTAAGGGAGGAAGTCCTGAATTTTATTTTTTAAAATACCAACTTGTTAATAATTTTGCTCAGAAAGTAAGGCATCATTTATTTTATGGTTCTGACAAAAGTGAGCATAGTAAATTTGTTATAACTAAATGCCACATCATAAATAGGAATTTAATAGTTATTGCAATTTCTTACTTTAATTTTACTAATATATATAATTCTAGCATTTTATGAAATATCTTTAATAGCTAGATAAAAATAGTATTTGACTATTTCATCATTAGAATCTTTATGAATGTTCCTTTATAGAATTTATATACTACACAGTATTTAAAAAGTAATGTTTTTATGTAAAATTTTATGTAATTTTGCATTTCATATTGGAAAAACTGCTTATGAAGATATACAGCAGCCAAACTTCTAATTATAATGTATTTTACATAGTTAATAAACATTTCTTAGGCAAATGAATCTCCTTATTTACAGAATGTTAAAAAGATTCTTGCAGACCCACAAAAGTTTCCAAAATCAATACTAACACTAGAAGAAAATGAAGATTATCACATTATTATACAGTCTGTAAAATATGGACAAATTTTAAGTGAAAAGTCATTTCAAACTCGTAAGTAATGTGTTTGTATTGTTCAGCTATCTTACCTAATCTTGAAAGGGAAAATGTTTTATTTTCAGATAGTTTGAATTTTACAATGATGAACAGATATGTAATCGTAATCAAAAATCACATCATGATAGTGTTTTGTTTGATTATAATTTAGTTTTCAAAATTTAAAGGAAACTGAAGCTAAAGTAAGAATACAGTTTTCAGTTTTGAAATTTAATGTGTGCTAATATGGTGGATAGGTATAGTGTAGATTTACATATAATCCAGATTATCCTTAAAAGTACTATAATGTGGATTGTAATCTGTTGTAATTCATTCATTCTAAATATAGTAGCACAAACTCCCATATAATCCAGGAAAGATTTTATAGTTAGATCAAGTTTTTCCATCATGGTGAGTCTTTGGTAATTCAACATCCTTTGTGTTTCATTCAGTTTTATTTGAAACTTTGCTAATTATTCGCCCTGGTCTTTTAGGTGGAGTATCAGCTAGAAGTATTAAAATAGTAGCAACAAGTACGAGTGTTTCTTTTAACTGGAGTGTGCTATCTTCCAATGACATTTTGGTGTCAATATCGCTTAATAATTCTTCACACATTATGCAGAATGTCATGTTTTATGAGTGGGATGATTTGAAACCTGCCACCTTATATGTTTTTACACTTGAATTTAAACAGTTGCATTTGGATTTTATAAATGTACTTCAGAGATTGGATATTCAAATTGAAACAGGTATGTAAATATTTATTACTTTATATATTTACTATGTATCTTGTAGATAAATTGGTAGCCTTTAAAAAGTGATTCAGCCAAGTATTAACCAGTGTAAACTACTTGTAAATGAATTAGCATAGCCCTCTTTCTCTAACTATATTATTCTGATATTTGACTGATTTATTTAACAAGCCGGATTTAGCCGGTAAAGATAATTTTTCTTCCACCACTTCTTTTAAACTGAACCAAGTGGGTGCTCTTTCCTTTAACTCTGACAATGTTTCGTATGGATTTTCCAGGAGGTACTAGAGGACAGAGGAGCCTGTCTGTTGTAGTCCATGGGGTTGCAAAGAGTTGGACATGACTTAGTGACTGAACAACATATAGATTCCATGAATTTTTAGGTAGCTTTAATATCTCAATGACCGGTCTCATTTTCAGATATTAAATTATCATTAAAATATAGTATAACATAGGAATATTTCATTAGCACACTCAGAATGCAGTGGACCCTCATAAATAATAAAAGGTGAAAAGTTACAGCTCAGCAGACTTAGAGCGCTACCTACCAACTCCTCTGGTCTCAAGTTATTTTTCAGAAACATAGCATCCAGTTGGATGCTAGGACATTTAGATAGATTCTAGTCCAGAATGGTATGCTTTATGGTATGTCAATGGATTGTATCTCTAAGAAGGAAATTCTTTTAAGAATCTGTGTCAAATAAATCTCTTTCCTGAAGGAGGAAAAAAGTACATAAATTTTTCATTCTATTTGAAGTTTCTCCATTACTCATCCCCGATCAGACCTGACCTAAATTTGAAATACTGCAAGGGGGAGCTGAAGTTGTTCAGTTTTTTGGTGTCTTCCTATTTCCTGTTCCTTCTCACACATGATAGGAAAGGATTTGAGGACAGAGTCCTAAATGGCTAATAGGGGCAAGGCACTTTCTGTGATGGGCTAAGAGTCCCATTTCAATACCCTGTATAGGAACCATAAATGAATCACAATATCTTTTATGATAAATTTTGTTAATAAAAAGACAATAAGGTAGTTAAAGCATTTCCTCTCATACTTCTTCCCCAATGAAAACAAGACAACAGTTCAAAATATCCTTTACAGAGTGAACTAAGTCAGAAAAAGAAAAAAAAATATATAACACATATATATGAAATCTAGAAAAATGGTTCTGATGACGAACCTATCTGTAGGGTAGGAATAAAGATGCAGACATAGAGGATGGATTTGTGGACGTGGAGGAGGGAGAGGGTTGGATGAATTGGGAGTAGCACTGACATATATACATGACCATGTGTCAAATAGATAGGGGGAAGCTGTTGTATAGCCCAGGGAGGTCAGTTCAGGGCTCTGCCGTGACCTAGAGGGGTGAGATGAGGGGATGGGAGGGAGCTGTGAGAAGGAGGGGGTGTATGTGTGTGTGTACATGTGTGTGTGTATATATGTGTGTGTGTGTGTGTATCTGATTCAGACTGTTGTACAGTAGAAACTAACAGCGTTGCAAAACAATCATACTCCAATTAAAAAAAAAAATCCTTCTCACATCTTCCTCACATGTTGGGTTGGCCACTGATGGCTTCATCAACGTGAACTGAAGAACAGTTTTTACTCTGAACAGGCTGATATTTTCCTGTCTTTCTGTGGTGTGTAATCTTGGAGAAAGGACTAAACAGCCAGCCATTCCAGTTTTTTTTTTTTTTTTTTAGAAAGTGAACCCATTTGAAATCAAATGACAAAGAGCAGAATTCATAGCAAGCATGATATCTTGTGTATGTGTGCATGTATGCTGAGTCATATCTGACTCTTTGCGATCCCATGGACCATAGCCTGCCAGGCTCCTCTGTTCCATGGCATTTCCTAGACAAGAATACTGGAGTGGGTTGCCATTTCCTACTCCAGGAGAGCCCTCTGAATTAAAAAGAAGCCTGAAATATATTTAAAAAGTTCTCTAGCAGTATAAGAGTAAGGGAAAGGAAGGGTAACCGAAAGTAATTTAGAAAGAAAAACATTTGTGGTTTTGTGTTAAGTTGTAATTGGGCAATAATTCTGTATAATTAATTCTTAAAGCTACTTAAAACTATTTTAGTTGGTAGTAATTCACTTACTACTAGAATAAAGCAGCTTTAGCACTTTTATTGGTTTGGGAGAAATATAGGGAAAGTGCACAGTTAATACTATGAGGTTTTTAGAGTTAATCTCTGTGGATGTTAAGAAATATAATTATGAAATGTTATATTGCTGAATCCATCTTTAACAAAAGCATTTTTCTTTTGGTAGGTTCATGTTCACAAGGATGGGTAGCATTTAAAAATAGCTGTTATAGAATTAGCAAAGAGAGTAAGCCATGGAATATAGCCCAGCAATACTGTAAGCTGTCCTTAACTTCTGCACACCTGGTGGATATAAAAAACGAGGAGGAAAAAAAATTTGTATTTTCACATCTCAGGTCAAAGAATCAAATAATAATATGGACTGGTCTTAACGACTTTAAGGTCAGTAGATATAAAGAATATGTATTGTGATAAAACTGTTTTTACCTATGTTCCTTCATCTATTCCTTCTTACCTTAATTCAATAAATATTTAATGAGTATTTCTTATATGCGAGGGATTCCCTGGTGGCTCAGATAGTAAGGAATACACCTGCAATACTCTGGTTTCTCTTCAGATCGCATAAATCTTTCGCCTTTTACTAAAGAATACACCTGCAATGTGGGAGACCTGGGTTCAATCCCTGGGTTGGGAGATCCCTTGGAGAAAGGGAATGGCTTACCCACTCCAGTATTCTGGCCTAGAGAATTCCGTGGACTGTATTTATAGGTTCACAGCAAAATTGAAGGAAAAGACAGATTACCCATGTACCCTCTGCCTCCGGACATACATTGCCTCCCTCATTAGCAGCATCACCACCCAGAATAGTAATCTGTTACAACCCAGGAGCCTGTGTTGATACGTCATAATCACTCAAAGCCTAGGGTTTCCATCATGGTTCAGTCTTGGTTTCATTCATTCTATGGGTTTGGACAAATATAATATATATCCATCATTTTAGTATGGTACAGAGTATTTTCATTGTCCTAAAAACCCTCTTTTCCCTGTCTCTCCATTCCTTCCCCACCTCCACATCTCTATTTTGTAGGCATTTATTTCTTTATCTAATTTTGCTTTAATTTTGTTTTTTCCCAGACCCCTCTTAAATACGAGTGATCTTATCCATTTCTTATTTTTTCCCACCTGAACCAGTTCTCAAATGTTTAGCTAGCCCACTTTCCTCTTAGATGTCTGAAACTCATATCTGATTTTCTTCTGCTTATTCATCCCTTTTGAACTTTTCCGCAGACAGTTCAATATTGCCAAAACTGACTTGTCACATCCCTCCCATCAAACCTGCTCCACTTCCTCTATTTCTTACCTCTGTGAACAATACAATAATATGAACCTGAAAACTTGGAGGTCTCCATTTTACTTTTTTCACTGTAGACATCCAGGTTTTAGAGTTCAGTTTTACTAAAGAGATACAGAACTCTCTGAAGATTTTAGTCAATACGAGTGAAATAAGGAGTGAGTGATATTTTCCTCCAAACAATCCTAACCCTGTGGAATAGCTCATGAAATCACATTTTGGCTAAAGTTGTGTAGGAAAACTTGAGACCTAACACTATCTTTGTCTAATCTGTGTTTTCTTCTTGGTGTTCCGTTTATTTTTATTTCCTGCCACTCTGTTTTCCATGAGATACCCTGATCTCTCATGACCCAAGGCAAATTCTATCAGTTTTGATACCAGTTTTTCTTTGAAACTTTGTGTAAGCTTGGGTGAAACTATTGGCAATCTTTGTATTGGCAATCTTTAACTGCATTTTCATCATTCCCTTAATGAGATTTCTTTATCTTTTAATGGGCAGTGAAGGAAATTCTAATAAAGATTCCTCAAACCACAGTTCATCTTAGAAGTCCCCCTTCCAGTGTGCTAGTCTCTTTCCAGTAGGCCAGTTATATACATTTATTTCTTTCCTGCTTCTAGCATGGTGGTTCTGAACTGTTTAAATTAGAATGCTTTCTTCCAATAGTTATGGTTACTGGTTTTTGTTATGAAGTTAGATCATATGCTCATGAGAGGCAAAGTGAGGCTCTCAAGGCATCCTTGTGGTGGTTATGAATTTTTCTAAAGGGTCTAAGATACAGATTCTGCTTTAAGATACTTAAAAATAATCTGGATAGTGAATGAAACATCAAAGTAACTATTTAAAAAAACCTTCTTTTGTAATAATAGCTGAGTCCTATCATATCTCCTAAGTGGTAAGTGTAGTTCTATGTGATTTACTTGTATGGCAGAGGAAATTAGCACACCTGTGGACAGGCATCAGAGTCTGATCTTAACCACTATACGACCTTTCAAGCTGGTCTCTTGAGGTTGACATCAGAGTTAACTTCTGGGTCAATTCTTGTGGTAGACTGAGGAAGTCATCACCCCTTTAAGTAAACCCATGCTGAGTAAGTGTGAGTTTGTTACTGGACATCATAGAAAAAGACTGATTCATCATTACATCCTAGCTTCCAAATGGGATTCGGCCACTCAATAGGAACTTAATGAAAGATTAATTATTTCTATATTCTACTTTTGGAAGTGTTACATAGGTAATTCTCATTGAGTTCTCGGAACAACCTTATGAATAGGCAATGTAATTATTCTCATTTTATAGATAAGGAAAATGAACTCAGAAATATCCTGGGTCACATACCTAATAAATGGCCACATCCGACCTCAAACCTGTATCTATTTGACCAACACTCGTGCCCTAATCATTTGACCATACTGCCTCTGAGCCTCTGTCTGTTTTCAAAATGGCAGTACAATATATGCAATACAGCAGACTCTAAGGAAGTGATATTCCTCCATTCTACTTGATGGAATTGGAATGTACTGTTTTAAAATCTCTTTAGAATATCTGAAGGGAGCAGGTCTTTTTAGTTTTCATTCATGCCACTAGCTTGGCACTGTGCTTGATGCTGGGGATGATGTCATACTCACAGTATGGACATATAGTCTCAATTTTCATAGAACTCATTGTCTCTAAGAATTATATTTGATTTTGAGGCACTGTCACGTGCCTGGTCTTTTAAGCGTTCATACTCTAAACCTGTTGACTGCTTTAGCTCCATTGCACTGATTAGCTCCATTGCACTGGTGAAAGTATTTCATTTCTAAGAGGTTAGTAGTTGTCTGTTACTTAGATAGGAAGTGGCAAAACTGTTGATTAGAATCCAGCTATGTTTTTGTCAAAGCTTCTTTTCCTACTATCCTTTTCAAGGAGAGTAGCCACTACTTAGAGATTTATTACTTGTGAAAGTTGAGGTTGATGATATTCACTACTGACATCCTTACCAGAATGGTAATAGAAACCTCTTCTGATGCTTAAGACTTATTTGATGACTTGAATCAAAATAACCTCTGAATAATAAAGGGTCTGTGCTTGGCATGGTTTTGAGCACTGCACATGCACTGCCTGCAATGCTCACAACAAATTAGATGTAGTTTCTATCATTATACCTATTTTACAGATGAGAAAACAGAGGTTTAATGTGAAAATTTTTTCTCCTGAAGATACAGCTAATGAATGGATGAAAATGAACTCTGCCTCCAGCTCAAAATCTTTATCATGAAGGAAATCTACCTGAAAATATGAAACTGGTTGATGACTTAACAATCTTAGAAAATTTTATAATATAGATATCTAATAAAAATCTTTAAATACACATATTTGAAATGCGACTTTTCCTTTAAATTGGCTTAATTTGTACATCTTATTACAGAAAGAAGGTCATCTCACATGGACGGATGGATCATCTTTTGACCTTAAGGGAAATGAAATGCTTTCTTTTCCACTACTACCCAAGAATGAAACGGATTGCTACATTTTACAGCAAAACTCAACTGGATCAAACTATTTCTTTACAGGATTTTTCTGTTATGTTCCCTTGCCATATATTTGTGAATATGAATGTAATTATTTTTTTAGTATTTGTCTATTCATACATGTTGTTCTTTTATTACTTTAAAGATAGAATTATAATTTCTAATAAAAATAATTCTCTTCTGTTTCTTTTAGCACCTTCTCTGCAGGAAAACCTTTTATTCTATGTAAAGGAAGTTGGAACAACTGAAGTTGTGTTTAGTTGGAATAATTTGAGTGCTTGGAATAATTTGAATAAGTGGCTGAAACTTGGATATAAAATTATCATTAAATATTATTTAGATTGTACAGAAGAGCAGCATTTTGAAAGCATGCCCCCAGATACTACAGAGAAAGCAATTACACAATTGTATCCTGGCCGTGTTTACAGATTTTTATTCTCTGCGATAAATGAATGGGAGGCAAAAACTACTTTAAGTCCAGTATTCATTGTTGAAACACGTAAGTTACAAGACATCTGAAAGTATAATTTTTGAAATATTTAATATCATCATTAGCACGTAATTCCTGAGGGTCTGCTTGCTATTTTCTCATAACATTCTGAGAAATCTCTCTTTAACCATTTTAAATTACAATGGATCTCTTTATGTGTTTGGCTTTCCTATTAAACTATGCACCCAGAAGGGCAGGAACTGTATCTTATTTACAGTAATTAGACTGGTTCCAAGTTCATAGTAGATAATAAGTCAGGGGGAAGCTGAATTTTTGATGTGCTAAAGGAGGAGATAAGCAGACATGCATCCTGGATTATAAGGGACTTACAATGGAGAGAATTAGTAAGGAATAAAATTAAGTGCAAACAATATTGTATAGAAAAATGTAATTACCCAAATTCCCAGTCCACGGTACATTTAATAAATGCTTTTAAAATGCATTAATGTATTAATTAAATAAATGCATTTAATAAATTCAGAGGGTGAGTGACAGGGGCAGAATTATGGAAGGGATCGGTTTAGATTCAAACTTTGAGGAAGAAAAGCACATTGTGAGCAAAAGTGTGGCGATGTGAATTTGTAGGAAAAGAACAGTGTGGATCGACTGGAGATCTTCGGGCGTGAGGGTAACAGCGGTCTGAGCAGTAGGTGACCTCAGATTTGGGCATGCCAGCAGTCTGTCTTAGATGGTTGGACTTGACCTTAGAAACGAAGGAAATCCATGAAGACTATGGTTTCTAAGTCTTGTTTTACCTTTTCCAAGTACTCTTAATGCATTGTTTTAGTCTGTCTCTCAGCGTTTGGAGTAGCTAGAGAGAAATGAGAAAACTGAACTTCAGAAAGGAGAAGTAAAGTGACTGGACTAACATGGCTTGTTAAACCAGACAGGAATCCAGGCACCCGGATGGTCTTCTTTTAACTGTTGAACTATTGCTTCTAAAGAAAGAATCAAAAAGAATGTGTGTGCATGTCTGTGTGTTTGGAGGGTTGGGAACGGATACAGGTTTGAGGCTGATAATGTGCAAGGTGCTGTTTTAGGAACACTAATATGGAGGGATTAACTGGGAAAATAACTGGCACCGGATGAAACAATTTGGAGTTGGGAAATATTTCTGTAAGAGGATGAATGCCTGAGTTCCGGTGATGTTAGGGATGAAGAATAAATAATATGAAGTCCCTGCCTTCTTGTCTGACAAGGCAGAAGTGAATGATACATATAACATATGATGACCGAGTGCCAGAGTATCATTTTGGTGATGCTTGTAATAAAATTGAACAGGAGTGTGTGTCAAACACTTTGATGAATGCTTTAGCCTCCATATTTTATTTAATCTTCATAATTACTACTATAATTCCCATTTTATATTAAAAAAAACCTGAGGCTCAGAAAGGATAAGTAATTCACTCAGGAAGTTGGAGATATAAATTGGAAGGGTCAGGGTTCAAATCTAATTTTCCTTTTCTCTCCAAATTTAGAGTATCATGGAAGTACTGAGAGCTAAGAGGTAACTCTGCCAAACCGTATTACTAGTATAATGCCTTTTTTTTTTGTTTGTTTGTTTCTTCTCATCTACTAGGTCCATTATCACCTCAAAACGTCACAGTTACTCATGTGACCCCAACGGAAATATTTTTACACTGGGATGCTCCAGATCCTGTATCTTTTGACCATTATTTTGTGGTTATGTTGGATCCTGAAAATGCTAAATCAGAAGAAGTGTTTGTTGAAAAACCCAACACATCCACAACAATTGGAAATCTCAAATCTTTCCATCATTATCTTATCTATCTATTCAGTGTGGCAGAAAGAGGAACTCTAAGCTACTTTGAGAAACCTGTTTCAGCCATTACAGGTATGGGCACATTTTGCATTTTGATCAGTACAAATTCAGCATACTTTGAAATACTGTTTTGCAGAAATTTAATTGTGTTGATCCTTCATAGGTACAAAATGATCACAGTTGAACATTTGACTAGATGTTGAATCATGATTCTAAGCATGGATTCTAAATACTAAATTAATTTAGATTTACATGAACTCCTTAAATATCTGCAATTTTCCTACCAGAGTTCCTGGAAGGAATATTTCTTATCATAGGCTTTGTTGGAAAATAAATTATCCTAGAAGATGAAGATTAGTCACCCAGTTCTCTTTGATAGCTTCAGACCCGACAAGTAGGTCTGCACATGTAAGCATGCTCTTTTGCTATGCAATGTTATGCATTGACCTCTAGGGAGCAGTGTCACACCAGGACTTTTGGCAAATACGTTTCTAAACTACACTCAGCATAGCAGTTTTTGAATGATTGTCTAGAACATAATCATTAAAGTTACCTGTCTTTTAATTAAGCATTCTATTTACCACCTAAAGTCAGTCTTTTTTGGAAGGAGAAAACTCAATTCATGAAAGCACATAACTCAGCACATTGTACTGTTTGTGCACGTGTGGTTAACACGTTTACATGCAAGGTTCTTTGAAATTTCACCAGCTGAAGTTTAAACACACGAGAACTGAGGGAGGAGAAATGGAAAACCTGCATGTGCACCGCCACAGATTGATTAACGTTCTCATACGTGGGAATACTTGGGCTTCTTTGAAGGAGACAATGATGATGATTGGTAAAACAAATTAAAAAATACATCATTTCATGGTTACTGAATGCAAATACTTAAGATACATGCATTCAGTGTTGCAAATCCTAATCAGAAGTATTTTTCCAGTTGGATACTAGAGAGCAGATGGTTTCTTATCTCCAAGCTCAGACAAAACATGTCAATTGATACATGCTTGATTGAGTTCCTGACACTTTAGGAAGATGCTTTCATTTTTAACTGACAGGCAGACTAGGAGGATTTCTCACAGATTCATTAATTTTTAAATCACATTAAAATCTTCCATGGGATGTACCTATTTGTGAAGTAGAGGGACAGGAGAAAGGTACATGTGAGTCTGCACATTTAATTGTGTGACTTGCTATGTATGTTGACATACATACATACATAGCAGTGCATGTTTAAGGATTTAGTAATCCAGTGCTCTTTTACTTTTCTATGGATGAAGCAATATTCCTTTTTGTTTCATTCATTATTTACTCAATAGATTATGTTTTAGTGTCAGGAATTGCACTGGAGACTAGAAATGCAAAGATGAATGACTAGGATTTATCTTTAGAGGGCTTACATATTAATGGAATGAGACAAATTTTTTAAAATAATGATTCTGTATTATAATTGCTATGAAGGCTTATGCTCTTGATACTATAGGAGCATAGAGAGGAATCAGTTAACTCAGACCGGGGTACAAGGATAGCCGTGAGAATCTTTGTGGAGGAGTGATACCCTGAGTCATGAGGGGAGGTAAGAGTGAGCCAGGCAGGAATGGGGGTACAGAAGGATGCTGCAAGAGGGGCAAACAGCATGTGAATAGACAGAGAGGGCTGAAGCAGAGGCATCCACCTAGCTACCCCTGGGAAAGCCAGAGAAGGCTTTTTGAAGACTGACAACTGAACATTAGGAAATGATGAGTAGATTGGCATGGCTGGAGTACAGGGGGGCATATAGTGAGGGTCTAGAAAATGTAAGCTAGGCATTCAACAGGAAGAGACTTGATGGTGTACATTTTATTCACTAAAATTTAACTGTTTTGGGTTAATGGAGTCTTTGAAAAGGTGGAAAAAATAATGGGCTTTCTCCCATAAAAATGCATGGGCATGTATAGAAAATTCTTTGAGTAACTATAGGACAATAACAGACTCCTAAGTTTTGTAGGTGTGTGTGTAAGAAAAAGTATCTGAAGTTGTTTCACCATGGAATCTTTTGAACAGTTTTCTAATGGAACTATTCTGACATTTCCTGATAATTTTATATAATCGATTCCAACACCTAGAGTCAAACTAGCTTCAGTTTTGTGAAATGAAGTTATGAAATGAATAGACCCAGAATATTTTCTTAAGAAATTAAAATGTAGTGTTTGATTTGGTTGATTAGGAAATGAACTTCAAAACATATTAAAAATCAACTTATAGTTTCTGAAAACAAAGTGACTATGAAAATCATGGAGAGTTATTTTTTTAATTTTTTTTTAATTGAAGGATAATTGTTTTACAGAATTTTGTTGTTTTCTGTCAAACATCAACATGAATCAGCCATAGGTATACATATATCCCCTCCCTTTTGAAACTCCTTCCCATCTCCCTCCCCACCCCACCCCCTAGGTTGATACAGAGCCCCTGTTTGAGTTTCCTGAGACATACAGCAAATTCCTATTGGCTCTCTAGTTCACATATGGTAGTGTTAGTTTCCATGTTACTCTCCCATACATCTCACCCTCTCCTCCCCTCTTCCCACGTCCATAAGTCTGTTCTCTATGTCTGTTTCTCCATTGTTACCTTGCAAATATATTTATCAGTACCACATTCCTAGATTCCATATATATGTGTTAGTATACGATATTTATCTTCTCTTTCTGACTGACTTCTCTCTGTATAGTAGGCTCTAGGTTCATCCACCTCATTAGAATGGACTCAAATGTGTTCCTTTTTGTGGCTGAGTAATATTCCATTGTGTATGTGTGCCACAAATTCTTTAACCATTCATCTGTTGATGGACATCTAGATTGCTTCCATGTTCTAGCTATTGTAAATAGTGCTACAATGAACATTGCAGTACATATATCTTATTCAGTTTTGGTTTCCTCAGAGTATATGCCTAGGAGTGGGATTGCTGGGTCAGATGGTGGTTTTATTCCTAGTTTTTTAAGGAATCTCCATATCGTCTTCCATAGTGGCAGCATCAATGCCTTTTCTCCACACCCTCTCCAGCATTTATTGTTTGTAGACTTTTTGATGATGGCCATTCTGACTGGTGTGAGGTGATATCTCATTGTAGTTTTGATTTGCATTTCTCTAGTAATGAGCAATATTGAGCATCTTTTCCTGTGTTTGTTAGCCATCTGTCTGTTTTCTTTGGAGAAATGTCTGTGTAGGTCTTTTTCCCACTTTTTGATTGGGCTGTTTGTTTTTCTGGTATTGAGTTGTTTGAGCTGCTTTTACATTTTGGAAATTAATCCTTCATCAGTTGTTTCATTTGCTATTATTTTCTCCCATTCTGAGGGTTGTCTTTTCACTTATTTATAGTTTCCTTTGCTGTGCAGGGCTTTTAAGTTTAACTAGGTCCCACTTGTTCATGTTTGTTTTTATTTTCATTACTCTAGGAGGTGGGTCATAGAGGATCTTGCTTTGATTTATGTTATTGAGTGTTCTGCCTATGTTTTCCTCTAAAAGTTTTATAGTTTCTGGTCTTACCTTTAGGTCTTTAATCCATTTTGAGTTTACCTTTGTGTATGTTGTTAGAAAGTGTTCTATTTCATTCTTTTACATGTAGCTGTCCAATTTTCCCAGCACCATTTATTGAAAAAGCTATCTTTGCCCCATTGTATATTCTTGCCTCCTTTGTCAAAAATAAGGTGCCCATAGGTGCATGGGCTTACTTCTGGACTTTCTATTTGTTCCATTAGTCTATATTTCTGTTTTTGTGTCAGTACTGCACTGTCTTGATGAATGTAGCTTTGTAGTATAATCTGAAGTCACGAAGGTTGATTCCTCCAGCTTCATTCTTTCTCAAGACTGCCTTGGCTATTTGGGGTCTTTTGTGTATGACTTGTGAGATTTTTTGTTCTAGTTCTGTGAAGAATGCCATTGGTAATTTGATAGGGATCACATTGAATCTGTAGATTGCATTTAATAGTATTGTCATTTTCACAATATTGATACTTCCTACCCAGGAACATGGAATATCTCTCCATCTGTTATGTCATCTTTGATTTCTTTCATCAGTGTCTTATAATTTTCTGTATTCAGTTCTTTTGTCTCCTTAAATAGGTCTATTCCTATATATTTTATTCTTTTTGTTGCAATGGTGAATGGGATTGGAAAATCATGGAGAATTCTTTAAAGATTATTTAAGGTAAAGCTTCTCTGATAGCTCAGTTGGTGAAGAATCTGCCTGCAGTGCAGGAGACCTGGGTTCAATCCCTGGGTTGAGAAGATTCCCTGGAGAAGGAAATGGCAACCCACTCCAGTAGTCTCGCCTGGAAAATCCTATGTACAGAGGAGCCTGGTGGGCTACAGTCCATGGGGTTGCAAGAGTCAGACACAACTTAGCAATTAAACCACCAAACCAAGGTAAAGCTATTGAACAGTTTAAAATTGCATAATTATCCTTACAAACGTAAACTAATTATTGATCATTGTGCCTGAGAACTACCAAAAGTTTAGGGGAGGCTTGTAACATAAGACAATGAGGTTAAAAGGAAGGCATCATAATTTCTAGAGAATAGAAGTGAAAATTGTAAGACATGATATTCAAATAAATTGTGTAAGAAGATAAACTAGTGTCTTTTGTTTGGTTATTCCCAAAAAAAATCAAGAACATTCTCCAATACTTGAATAGTAATAGCAAAGACACATTTTTCTCTAAAATTTACTCCTTTTCAAGACATGGTGACATGAGGATTTATTTACTTTAAACATGAATTAATACTAAATTGAGATATTTTTACTCAATAGCATGAGTAATAACAGACAATAAACTAAAATGTATGTATTGATGTATTTCTCAAAGGTATTAATCCACCTCAGAAAATTTGTGTAAAACCTGAAGATGTGGATGAAGACAGTATAATTCTCCAGTGGGAACCCCCACGAGATGGCCATGAGGTCTACATTCAAATCAAATCCATATCAGATACACGAGAAATCAGGAAGCTTTTTGTAAAGGATGCTAATAGATTCAAGGTTGATCGCTTAATCCCTGGAATGACATACAACATTGGAATGGCAACAGTAATGAATGGGAATTTGAGCGAGCTGGTAACTATTCAACAAACTCTAAGTGAGAATCAGATACTTTTCATTTCTTAACAAATATTTGCTGATTTGGGGTTATTATAAAATAATATCTGATATATTTCTCTGGTAGCAGGTTTTACCTTTTTAAATAGATTGTTTGTGTATTTCAGGATCTGGAGCAATTTCCATCCATTGTATCTTGCAAGTGTCCTATGCTTGTGTAAAGGCAGCACTGTTTATGTTTAGGAACTTCATCCCAAAATCACACTATCTAGGTTTGAATCTGAATTCAGCTATTTGACTAACCCTGGGCAATGCATTCAACCTGTTTATGCCTCAGTTTCCAAATTTGTAAAGTGAAAGAAAATATAGCGTAGGTTTCATGAGTTGTCCTGAGAACAACTGATTTAATAAATATAAGGACATAGAACAATGCCTGACATATAGGCACTGTTTGTAATTTTTATTGTATCCATAGAGGCATGCTGTAGCATAGCAGAAGGAAGTATTGACAGTGTATAAAAGGTTTAGGACCAAAAATTTTTTTCATTTCTCAAACAAAATTAATTCAATGAACAATAATGATTAAAAATGTCATAAGGAAGAAGAAAGAAAAGGAAAAAAGTAAATACATTAAATAATATTCATAGATATTTATAAATTGTGATAAACCTTAAGGAAAGCAGAAAAATTATGTCAAGGAGAGTGTTAATTGAAAAAAAAAAAACACAACATAAGATCAGTGAGTTGCAGTTTTATTCAGGGATCTTACTGAGGACTGTAGCCTGGGAGACAGCCTCTCAGAGAGCTTTGAGGAACTTGCTCCAAAGAGGCAGGGGGAGAGGCTAGTATACAGGTGATTTTGACTAAGGGACCTATGTAATTGAGCATATGTCATGGTAGAAGATTACTACTAGTCACAAGGAATAGATATCTCTAATGATTTTAGTGCTTTTCCAAGTATGGGGAATATGTAAGAATATGGGGTCATTAAACTTTTTCCTGAAGCATATCCAGCTGTTTAAGGGCCTGTTTTCACAAAGCATAGTTTGCTTCATTCTGTTCTTCATCCTGAATTCCTTCCAGGGTGTGTTGTAGGTCAGCAACGGCAGTGGCTAATAATTTACTGTTCCCTTGCTAGAAGAGTGTGGCACTGACTCACCTTGTTTACAAGAGAAATTGAAGAGGGATGGAGATGCTACTGTAGATGGACTGTAATAGGAGTTACATTTGATGGAGGCTTAAATGATAAGAAGGGGCCAGAGAAGAACAAGATGGTGGAAGGGTACTTTAGAAATGAACAGCCGTCGTGAAGAATGTAAGACAAGGACAAACTTGGTGTCTGAGAACAAAAAGACCAAGATGAAGGAGAGGGGCAGTAGGAAATGATACTGAATGAGGATTCAGGGGTCAGAGCACAGGGAGGCTGCAGGCTGTGCTTCTGAGCCTGTTCTGAGGGCGGTGGAGTCATGGAGAGGTTTATGCAGGAGAGGTGACAAGGTGAGGTCACCTCATCACAGAAACGTCCTTCCTGATACGGGCAAAGAATGGACCTGGGAAACTGGTTCCAGGGTGTTGTAGAGTCTAGGCAGAAGATGACGGGTGAGCAAGATCGGGAAGTGCAGCTGGAAAGTAGTGGCCACATTTTATTATATGAAAGTCCAAGCTTTCATGCTGGACTGATTATGATGAGTAAGCGAAAGTCAGTCATGTCAGACTCTTTGCCTCCCTATGGATGGTAGCCCGCCAGGCTCCTCTGTCCTTGGAATTCTCCAGGCAAGAATATTGGAGTGGGTAGCCATTCCCTTCTCCAGGGGATCTTCCCAACCTAGAGATCGGACACTGATCTCCTGCATTGCAGGTGGATTCTTTACCGTGAGTTAGCAGGGAAGCCCCTGATGGTGAGGAGAGAAAGGGAGAAGTTGGGGTTTGACTTGACTAATTTAGGTGAATAGTGATGACTGTGAGGAAGGAAAGATCACTGGACCTCACAGGCCTTTTAGCTAACCGTAAGGGTAGTCTGGTGGGAAAAATGAATTAATTAAAAAAAATTATGTGTTAGCAGTGTCTACATTCAACCAGCATCAAATCTTCCCGTTTTATCTTTCAAAGACTAAACTGAAATTTATTTCCATAGTTCCATACTTAAATTTTTGAGAAAAACTACCTAAAGATAATTATAATAGAAAACAATTATGAAAAAGAATACAATCTGATAATTAAGCAAGATACATTGCTAAAAAATCTATTGTATATCTACTAAACAACCCAACATAAATTTGTGTGCAGAATGGAAGTATGAAACTAAAATGTGTAGATGGGTAATGAACTGTAGTCTTAGAGCCACCAGTCATTACCAGAATGGGGTTAGGTTTTCTGCATATTGTCTCTGGGCCTAAGTTTTTTGCTCCATAAGATTTAGATCACTGAATATGTTCTTAAACTGATTTTCACCTGTGAAGTCCTATTCTTCTTTGACTCTAGGGAACTTAGCATATTTCAACCCATTTACCATCTAAAAACAAATCTTACCATCCTTTCTAGGTAGTCAGTTCCTTTGAAATCTTATTCATCTATCCCTCTTCAGGTACAAACATAGATCCAGACTCTGCTTAATTCAGATATTATTGGTAAAGTCAGTATCTAACATGAATGCTGAAACATGTATTAACACATATAAATCTGAGGAAGGATAATAGAATTTTAGGGCTTAAAGTTCTGTTTAACTTTTTTAAACTTTTTTTTTTTAAACTGTTTTATTTATTTTTTTCAATTTCTTTCAATTGTTTATTAACAGACCAGATTACAAAAATAATCCTGATAGATACCTTAGTTCATCCTTCTAATAAGCCTGTTGATCTGGTCTTCCCTGTTGTCAGCATCTCCACCTTCTACAAAATGGGTGGTCTTTTTCTTCATTCCACCTCGTGGAGAAGACAGTTTAAAGGGCCACAGGAAGTTGTTTGCTTCTTTGAAACGTTTTCCAGCGGTATAGATCTCATGAATCAGATCCTCCATGCAGATGAGTCCGTATTTCCCAAGAGATCGAGCAATCAATGCGTTGTCTATCAGGGCAATTCGCTTTTTGTTGATTTTGCCATAACCACGCTCGTAGATCAGTTCATTTACAGACTTCAGATTTGGGTACTCCCATGCAATGTATGGCTCCACAATTCTCAGCATGTTAATTGATGCCTTGTTGAGCTTCACAAAGGTGCCATTGAAGATCTGCCGGAGGCGAAGGAGCTACAGCACCTTTCGAACCTTTGGGCTCACACCGTTGGTACCTCTGATCCTGATGACCAATGCCAATTTGGGTTCCGCGGGTACATAGAAGTTGCCGGCTTTTCATGCCATCCTAGCCATTCGAATTTCAGTTCTGTACATCTGCCTGTATTCCTTGTGGTAATGCTTAGCTTTTTCATAAATAAGCTTCCTCCTTGCCTTTCGAAGCATCTTTTGGGCAAACTTCTTTCTCAGGCACTTGATCTTAAGCTCTGAGAAATTCTTTCGCTTTTTCTTAAGGGTTTCTGGCACAGGAGGAACCTTCTTTTTCTTCTCTTCTGCACCCTCCATGGTTCCAGCCGGGAAAGAGCTGAACTGTTTTCAAGTTCAAAAACAGAGATCTTCTGGCCAGTGCAGTAAGGCTATACCATTCTTCTGATCATTGTGTAAGGCACCTCTATAATTTCCCTCTAGCTTGGAGCCGTGTCTGCTACTCCAGAGTGTCACGAAGCAGATCTACTCATTGATTCATGTGAAAGGCCATCATGTTTGGAAATACCCATTAGTTGCTCATGGTGTCTATATTTTCTCTCCTTCTGGTGAATTTTCCCTAGTTCCTTCAAGTACTCCACTCTTTCTTTTTTAAAAAAGCGTTGTTTATTTTTGGCTGTCCTGGGTCTTCACTGCTGGGCACACTTTTCTTTGGCTGTGATGGGTGGGGACGGCTGTCTGGCTGCAGTGCGCGGCTTCTCGTTGTGATGCCTTCTCTTGGTGAGGAGCACCGGCTCTGGGGCGCTCAGGCTTCAGCAGCTGTGGTTCCCCAGCTCTAGAGCAAGCCCCAATACCTGTGCAGCACAGGCTTAGCTGCTCCATGCCTGTGAGATCTTCTCAGTCTAGGGATCGATCCCTTGTCTCCTGCCTTTGCAGGAGGATTCTTTACCTCTGAGCCACCAGGGGAGCCCTCCACTATTTCTTATAATCCAGTCAGTCTTTCTATCCAGTTCTTAAACTTTATCATCACTTTTGGCATCACCTGATTATTTATCATTCATCATTTTCACTTGTGTCAAGATGATTAAGCAAATATTAGCTTATCCCAAGGTGCATAGGTAGACATTCTCTCCTTGTATTCATTTAACAAATAATTACTGATGATTATCCTTCATTGGATTGGCCAAAAATTTTCATTTGGGTATTTTCAATCTTATGGAAAACTTTTTGGCCAACACAATATTATGTCCTGTTTTTCTTTCTTCCATACACTTTGAGGCAGTCAAGCATAGAGGGACTTTTACCTTTTAATGCGCTTCTACATGTTACAAACATGTAGGAAAAAAATTAACTTGCACATTCCTTTTTCCTTTGAACCTTCTCTCTCCATCTGGCTGTGTTATCTCAAAAGCAACTATTGATAATGAAACTTGATCTCCAGTTATTAGCGTGCACCTGATCTATAAAATGTGCCCTTTGGGAGAAGGTGGCGCTTATGACAACAGAACCTTGGAACCAGATTACCTGGGTTAGAGCCACAGCTCCACAATGACCAGTTTCTGTCCTTTGGAAAGCCATTCAGTCTTTCTGGTCCTCAGTTTTCTTCTCCCTAAAATGGGAGTGATGATAATCTTACCTACATTATGCAGTTAATATAATTTAAAGGCTCAGACCCCAAGCAAACACTGAGAGTCTTGGTGATTGTTATCATTCTTATCTCTCTGAAGGGGTAGGGTGGCACTGAGGAGCTTTGGCCATCTGTAACGGGAAGTAAAGTTGTTCTAGCTGTTTGTGTGTGTCTTTTTGTCAGAGGAATTAATGAACCCGTTTTTCTTGACAGAAGGAGAGCTGTAAGAGAGCTCGTGTTTGAGTTTTCTTGTTTTCCTCTCACAAAAGAATAAATTTTAAGATAGACTGGGCATCCCTGCAGCTCAGTCTAACCAACCTATAATAAAAGCCTTTGAATTTGGCCTAGTTTAATTTATCTCATTTTGAAAAAGCCTCATACAGCCCTCAGGCTGCCGCTTCCTCTGAAAAAGATATTGCAGGAAAATAGTTAAGGCTGGAGGTCCTGGTCACAGAGGTAGAGACTCGTTGGAGTCCACCGGAAATGGCAATGCCTTTCTTTTTCTTTTTTTGAAGTGTAACCTTCTCCCACTTGAGGTTTCAGAAGTTTGCGGTATATAAGTTCTGAAGAGAAGGAATAACTTTATCCTGTTCTACACCTTTCCAGCCTTGGTGCCTCTCTGCTTTAGCATACCACTCGTTAATACTGTTGGCTACATCTGCCTGGACAGGTGGAATTGATGTAAAGCTTCACATTCACCCGCTGGAGGGAATGTTCTCAGCTGTCTACTTTCAGAGCCTGGAGTAAACTATGCCTGTTTAAAGCAATGACTCTCCCTAGAAAATGTTTTCATTTTCTATGTTTTCATTTCACCGAGAAGGTGGAGATGATTGTTTCCATGAGTATGTCAGTCAGTCGTTTCCAAACCCCAGATGTTTAATTTCTGTTCAGAGTATCTTTAGACGTGTTCACGGGTCATTCCATAGATTCAGATGGGCTGGTTACTTGTGGGATATCATGCTAGTCTTGGAAAAGTCCTACTTACTGTGGGAGCTTTCCAAGCTGTATGGAATTTAGAGATGTTAGCAATGATGTTAGCAAGATGTTAGCAATGACAGAAGAAGGAAAGTAAATACAACTGGAAAAAGAAACACATTGTAAAAGTACCTTGAAATCCAGTAATATACTACATGGAGTGAGTATGGTTAGCATAGTGAACATTTCCTGATGACCACCAAGAACAGAACAGGAAAGTTCTATTATTACAGCAGAGTGAATCAATGGAGATGGTGCGCAGAGTTTATGTTCTATATTTCTAATTATAGATGTGTGTTTAAATCCTTTTAGACTGTACTATCTCTGGGTAAAGTCAGATATTTAACAGTGACTTAGAACAAGTTCCATTGCATCAAACAAGATGTCACCAAAAAAAAAAAAAAAAAAAAAACTGAAAAGAGAAGGCCATCTACTTATTCTCTGCAGAGGAAAAACAAAAACTTTTTTAGAATGTATATTTGAGAAGATATCTGTTTGGAAGAAAGACAGACCTAAGGATATACTGGACAGTATCCCAATAATCTAAAACTGGACAGTATCTCAATAATCTAAAGATAGAATTGAAATTAAAATTGATCTGAGGAAAAAATGGTGTGGATAGAAATAATCTAAAATTTTAATCTGCTCTAAGTAGCACAATAAAGCTCTTTAATAGACGTCAGGGAGAAAATAAAACGTGAATGAATCCTTCCACCAAATGTTTGCCAGAACCACATTCCTAAAAATGAAATGTCTGCTCAAAATCCCTGTGCAGACAGACTAGTCTTTACCAGTCTGGCTCAGCTGGTAAAGAATCCGCCTGCAATGCAGGAGACTTGGGTTCAATCCCTGGGTTGGGAAGATCCCCTGGAGAAGGGAAAGGCTCCCCACTCCAGTATACTGGCCTGGAGAATCCATGGACTGTATAGTCCGTGGGGTCGCAAAGAGTCGGACACGACTGAGTCGCTTTCACCAGAGCTTGGCAGGCAAGGCCTCTGGTGGGCCGGGACCAGCCTCGGACCATGGCCGCCCCTGTTGCTCAAACACACTCTGTGCTTGAACCACCCTGAGTTCTGAGCAGTTCAGAAGAAACCAGGGCACAGCGTGACTAAGAAACTTGCTGAAGACTGGTAACTGGAAACTAGTTGCCAACGACTAGTGACTAGTAACTTGCCCCGCTAGTAAAGAGCTTGGCGTTCCCTGGACACACGAGGACGCCCAGTTTTTCCAGGCCGTGCTGATGCTTTTCTCTTGGTCTGGGGTTCCCTCCTGACTGCCTCTCTCTGCCCTGCACATTCTTTCTGGGAGACTTGCTCTGTCCTGTAAGACAGATACGACATTGTCCTCAACTCTGGAAAGCCTCCCCAGTGTTACTTCTGCTAGAATTCTCTCTCTCTTCTCAACAGCCTTTTGTTCATGTCCCTCTAACCATGGAGGGACTCTAGTTAGAGATCTGCTCAATTTTCTTTTTTTAAATAATGACAAATTTCATTATATTTGGATGATTCTTTTAGAACTGGACAAGCACTATCCTAAGGATGAAACTAAATGTATGAATCACATACCAGACAAATAAATGGTATACTTAGGCATCATCTGTAGGTACATAGGAGCACGCAAGTTCCGAGTTTGAGAATTTTATGAAAGCAGGAATCTGGCCTTATTTACTTTCTTTGAGCATTCCTTCTGGTATGTAGGTTTTCAAAAGTATTTTCTTAATAAATAGATAAGGTAAAAAACAGGTAGATCTCAGGTTTTTATGTTTTTTAGACTATTAATGAGAATAAAAAAATGAAAGTTAATTAGGCCCTTTCAATAATATATGTATATATGATCTGTCAATCTGTCAGAATGTCCTCTTTGTTTCTCTGTCCAACGCTAACCTAGTAAATGTAAGTTGACTATATAAGCATTTAATTGTTTTAAAAATTCTAGAACATGTTAGAGAAAGTTTTAAGACCATACTAATTATAAGTATCTCTTTTTATCTTTCAGAGCCCAAACCAGTTCAAATTGTTATTCCTTATGAAAGCCATAGTACCTCTGTAATCTTGTTTGTTCAGATGCCTAATATTGGAGTGTTTGATGGTGTACATATTGCAAGTGACCGAGGCCCAAATGTAACCAGGCTTTTGAAACAAGACAACATAATAACTGTTGACAATTTAACCCCAGGCACAGAATATAATTTCTTTGTTTCTACCATCAGTGGGACTAAATTAAGTAATATATATTATGTACCTGCAGTAAGAACATGTAAGTATTTTAGGACTTGCCTAAGGTGCTTCTCGATTTTGATTTTGTGTGGCATTTCAAATTAGTACTCTGTGCTCACTGTAATGCAATCAGTTTCAAAGATCCTTTAAAACAATTGCAAAACCTCATTACTGAGCCTGATCTGTAATTGCCTAGTATACAGATAGAGCTGACCTTGTTTAAAATTGAGAAGTCATGAAGTTTTTGTCTATTACCAAAAAACCACATGTGCATATTAATTGGAACTTTCAATGACTTAATCCAAGAGTGAGGACATTATGAAAACTAGACCATCCTTTGTGAGTCTGGGAGCCCTGATGGTGTCTCATAAAGCACATGATAAGTGTGCATTTATTATGTACACTTATCACGTACACTCCCTATGCTGCCATTTGTCTGGAAAAAACTAGTGCATATTTTCTTCATCTCTTTGAATATTTTAAATTATTATGTATAATATGTGTATATACCAATACTTTACATTTTGAGATTCACATTGATTTTGATTTAAGTCACTCAAAAATTCTACAGATGTTAATTTTGAACATTTGGAATACTTGACATTTGACCCCGCCGTAGTCTAATCTTGGGACCCAAGACTGCTCAGGCTCCAGGGATGGGATGGCAGCCCAGGTCAGGGAGGTTGAAGGGATAAACATGGCTTTTTTCCTTTTCTTTAATTTTATGCTGACAGAGTGATGGAGTATTGTCAATTTGCAATATAGTTCTTGTTTTCAGTGTACAGCCTCCTGGTTCAGTGATGATATGTATGGGTATATCACAGCTATTCTCTTTTGGATTCTTTTGCCTTGGAAGTTATTGTAGAAGCTCGAGCAAAGTTCCAAGTGCTGAACATTACTTCTTTGTGGATGGATGGAAGGAACAAAAATAATCCTTGCGGAGTATATATTACAGATACAGATCTCTGTGTATACATTAGTCCACACACACCTTCTAATTCATTCTTGGCCCTTCAGTTTTTTTTTTTTTGAACTGTATGTTTGAATTCTCAGAGTTTCTTTTTGTGTCATAAATTCGTTCATATGTATCTTTTTTTGTTTGTTAGTTTTGCCTAGAGGGTATGTTATACCCTATTGTCTTTCTCTGTGTGGCTGACTTCACTAGTGTCATCCTCCAAGGTCCATCCCTGTGGCTACCAGTGGCATAATTTCATATGTTTATTATGGCTGAGTAATATTCCATTGTATACACACACCACATCTTTAAGCTTGAATGGGGTGGTGGGCATTTTGCTGGTTCTATGTTTTGGCTGTTGTAAGTAGTGCTGTAGTGAATGTTGGGGTGTATGTGTCTTATTGAATTATGGTTTTCTCAGGATATAGTCCTAGGTGTGGGAATGTCAAATTCTAGGCTTAGCTCTCTCTTTTTTTTTCCTGGCATTTGGAGACTGTTATAGTGATGGTACCAATTTATATACCCACCAACAGTGTATGTGGGTTCCCGTTCCTCCAGGCTTTCTCCTTCATTTATTGTTTGTAGACTTGTGAGAATGGCTATTCTGTCTGGTGGGATTTGATTTCTCACTGTAATTTTGATTGGCATCCCTGTAATAATTAGGGATGCTGAGCATCTTGTCCTTTGGTAGTTTGGATTGTTTTTCTTTTTTCCTTAAATGGAGTGAGGAAATTTTACCTGTTGCAATTGGCTTTGTAAAAGTCGGTAGTGTTTGGAATTTATTTCTGTAATATCTGCCCCAGGACACTTCCTGAGGGCAGCTGTCGTTAGCAGCCACCCAAGGCCCTGTGAAGTGGAGGTGTTAGTCTCTTAAGTTGTGTCCAACTCTTTGCGACCCCATGGATTGTAGCCTGCCAGGCTCCCCTGTCCATGAAATTCTCTAGGCAAGAGTACTGGAGTGGGTTGTTGTTCCCTTCTCCAGGGGATCTTCCCAACGGAGGGATCAAACTCCTGGTCTCCTGAATTGCAGCCAGATTCTTTATCATCTGAGCCTCCAGGGATTGGAGGTTCCAGTAAGCACTTGTGGTCAAGTTGTAGTTACAGAGAGTGTCCACAAGGCGGCTGCATAGCCTCAGGGAAAGCCCTGGGCTGTAAATTGGAGCAAATACCCAAGGACTTGTGTCTCACTGCTTCCTTCTAAAGCTTCAGCCCCTTATGCGGACTAATCCCAACCTGGACCGCTTCACCCTGCAGAGGATGCTTAGGTGCCTGAGATTAGGAGGTTGCACTCTCAGGAAGGAAGCTTGAGCTGGGAACCCAAGCACCAAGAGATGTGAAGGCTAGGTGACTTTTCCAAGGTCCCCAAGGCCAGAGGGTCAGGTTACCATCCTTGGGTGCGCTATGGACTCTGGTCCCCGCCAGAGCAAACCATCCAGGTTTAAGAGAAGACTGAATTAAAGGCACCCTGCCTGACTATCTTGACCTCCCCCCACAGTCCAGCCTTGGGACCCAAGCCTGCTCAGGCTCCAGCGATAGGATAGCAGCCCAAGGCAGGGAGGTCAGAGGGGATAAACTAGGCATGGCTTTTTTTTCTTTTCCATCTCTTTAATTTCAGGCTGATGGTATGTTGGAGTGTAGTTATTTCTAATGTGCTTCTTGTTCACTTACGGTCTGTGAACCAGGTCAGTTCATGTGTATGAACACATGCAAACCCCAGACCTACTTATTTGGATTCTGTTGCCATAGAGGTTATTGCAGAAGGTCCAGCAGAGTTCCTTGTGCTGAACATCAGGTCCTTGGGGATAGAAGGAGTGACGAGAATCCTTGTGGATTATCTATTATTGACACGGATTTCCGTGTGTATGTTAGTCGTGCGTGCACGTGTGTGTGCGTGCTCAGTTGCTTCCACCGTGTCCAACTCTTTGCGACCCTGTGGCTGTGGCCCTCCAGGCTCCTCTGTCCATGGGGTTCTCCAGGCAAGAATGCTGGAGTGGGTTGCCATGCTCTCCTCCAGGGGATCTTCCCGACCCAGGGAACGAACCCACATCTCCTGCTTTGGCACTTGGATTCTTTACCACTGAGCCACTGGAGGCCTCCATATGTTAGTCCTGACCTCCTAATTCATCCCTGGCCCTTTACTTTTTTTTGAATCCTATGTTGAATTCTCAGAATCTCTTAAAATTAGTTTGTTTATATCTCCTTTTCCATTTTGCCTAGATGGGACGTCATATGTCTTCCTCTGCGTGGCTGACTTCTCTTAGTGTCATCCTCCAAGGTCCATCCCTATAGCTACCAGTGGCATAATTTCATGTGTTTTTTATGGCTGAGTATTATTCCATTGTATGCACACACCACATCTTTGCACTTGAATGGGTTGGTGGGCATTTTGCTCGTTCTGTGTTTTGGCTGTCGTAAGTAGTGCTGTAGTGAATGTTGGGGTGCATGTGTCTTTTTCAGCTATGGTTTTCTTGGGATATAGACCCAGGTGTAGGAATGTCACATCCTAGGCTTAGCTTTCTTCATTGTTTTTTTCTGGCTTTCAGAGACTGTTCTTTACAGTGACTGTGCCAATATATATTCCCATGGACAGTGTATATACATCCCTTTCCTCCAGGGCTTCCGTGGTGGCTCAGTGGTAAAGAATCCATCTGCTGATACAGGAGACACAGGTTTGATACCTGGGTGGGGAAGATCCCCTGGAAGAGCAAATGGCAACCCACTCCAGTATTTTTATCTGGAAAATCCCATGGACAGAGGAGCCTGGTGGGCTATGGTTCATAAGGTCTCAAAGAGTTGGCAGTGATAGCACACACATGCGTCCACTTGATGTAGAAATTGATGACAAGTAGTAATAAATGCCATACAAAAACTGCATGGTGTCCTGAAATCATTATATTTCTGACTACAAATGTAAATAAGTGTCAATGTTCTTAATGATTTGCTCTTCCTGATTACATGTCTTCACATGTCTTATTATACCATATTGTATTATGTATCTTTTCCCCCCAATTTATAATCCTTCCATTATTGTTTAAACTCATTTTTCCACAAAATAATCTCAAACTGATGTCATAGTCATGTTATTCTAATAGCATTTTAACATATCTATAATCAGCTCAGATATATGTTTATATTTTGCTTGTAATTTTTATGTACTTTTTATATTCTCTGCCTCTTATATTATGAATCATTGTGGGCAACATTCTGTTTTACAGTTCTTGTCTTTAAAAATAAGTAATACTTGATCTTCTAACTATATCAATATCATTATATCAGTAGCAGAAATACCAGTATATAAGACAATACTCTAAAGCTGACATTTTTCAGTTTTTTAAAAATAATTGTTCTCCTTTGTGCTAGATGAAATCTTTAAATTGGGAAAATGAAACACTAAAACTCACCAGATAAAATTTGTTTTTAACTTCAGCCAATATTTGGTACAAAGGAATTCTTTTGCTTCTTTGTCTAGCCTTCATATTTCTGTCTCTGCTGTGTTTTAGTAATTTCAGAAAGCTTTCATTTCATTTTCCCCCTTTAAATGTTGTGCCTTTGCTCCTATGAATTTGCTGTCACTAGTTTTTGCTGTAGCATCAGAGTTAGCTGCATGTAATGGTGTATCCAGTGACTGAGTACAATTGATTATCATATTTTATAAGCTACTATATGTATAAACAACTTTTTAACTAGGCTAGAGATAATTCATTAATAAACTGCACTGTCCTTTTTTGGTGTGTTGTGCTTTTTGCTCTCTTTGAAGGGACAAATAAAAGAGAAAACTGGTTAGAAAACATCCAGGAGCAATTTAGTGTTTTATGTGTTTTGCGTAGGTCTGGAAGCACCATCAAATATCCATGAGGGCAAAGTTACAGACTCTTCCATTGAAATTCTCTGGAATCGAGCTGATGGGAATTTTCAGCATTATGAAATCACATGCGTAAACTGTGCTGCTGCTTTCATGGTACGTTATAAGGGACTCTCGGAGGAATTAAACTTTCATGCTGAAACCAAGGTTACTCATGCTTACATCAGATCAGATGGTCTGGTGTGCCAGTCCATGGGGTCACAGAGTTGGACGTGACAACACATGTTGGATAGTAACATTAAATAACCCCCAGTCTTTTCTCTTTTTTGCTTGTGTTGATTGTGGAATGTTTCTTCAATGAACACTTGGAAAGTTATTCTTTTGGATTGTCAGGTCCAGAAGGTATCTCAAGAAGCTGCAGTCTTCTCTAACCTGGATCCTGCCATGGTGTACACCTTTTCAATTCGCACTGAAAAAGAAGGTTTTAAAGATAGTTCTCCCTACATAAAAGAAATACAGACAGGTACAGCTTGTGTAAGCGTTTTTGATATTAGTTTAATGCTCAATTAAAAAAAAAATTCCACTTTTCAAAAATACTTTATTAATGTAATCAGAAAGATTCCATAAAAATGCTTTGTTTTATATATTATTTTCTTTTTTAAAGGAAAATTTATTTAGCCAGGTTTCATTGACTTGTAACATTTTATAAGTTTCAATGTTCAAATATTCATTTGGTTCTTATAGAGAAGAATTAGTAAACAGTTTATTCTTTACAAATTTTCTTTATAGGCAGGCAGTATTGTCTCTTGTCTGTTTTTTACTTCCCCTTGCATGAATTAGCACAGCCTCTTCTGTTATGTGTATTTCCAGACAATAGAGTTGCTAACTGCCTGGGTTCTGGCCAGTCTCCCTTTGTGATTTAATGTTTCCAGTGTTCAGTTAGACAGACAATGGAGTATGCTGTTTCCCCAGTGTTAGCAACTCATTCCCAATGGCAGATGGTGACTTATTCCATGGTAGTCACATGAAATAAAGGGTAATTGGAAAGGGTGCATGCAAAATGTGTACATTTTCAAATCTAGGTGAAGTGAAATTGTCAACTGTTCTGCTAAAATAACTATTTCAGCTATTCTTGACACTGATGGCATGGGAAGATTGATTTACATATTTAGAAGCTGGTCAGGTCTGGTGTTCTTTTATTGTACTAATAAAGAACGGAAATGAGAGAGAATATCTTGGCAGTTTTTTTTTTTACTTTCCCACACATGGAAGAATTTTAAGGGAGAAATAAAATATATATTATATACTATATTAACATTTTTCTTCAGAGAAATAAGGGAAGTATTTCATATTTAGATGGCAATGAACTTTCCTGTTGACCAACCTTGTTACTATTTGGTATTTAACTAGAATGATGCTTTGAAAATCTTTATAAACATTTCTGAGGTTGGTGGTTACACTAAACCAAGATATCACCTCTTTCTACATTATAGAGGCAGGGTAAATACTGCGTACAACACTGCTGGGTACATATAAGTTCTGTTTCAAAGTTTAAAATGATTCTTGCTGTTTTGTTTTTTTTTTCACTCTCTTGACTTTTAATTTCTCATATCTACCATGAGGAATAAAAGGAATATCTTGGTTACCCTCAGAGTTTGCAGAGTCAAAGAAATCCAAAGCAGTTTTAAAATAGGTGCTTTCTATGGTAGAAAATGTTATTTGATGTGTATGTTTTACATGATATAGCCCCAAGTGCGGTTGAATTTATGAATCATAGTAGGAATTCAAATGCAGTAACCATTAGTTGGCCTTCAGCCAGAAGTCTTCTGGATGGATATATTATTTCAATATCCAGTGAAAGCTTAATGAAAGAAGAAATCCTGCCTTCTACAAACAGGTATGAAAACATTAAAAAGAGATTATGTTAAGTTACATGAAACACAAGATTAACATTTTATATGTGCTTTTAGAAAGCTGTTTTAGTAGTGTAGTATAAACAAATTATAAGAGTTTGCAGGACAACTTTTTGGACTGTAGTGTGATCAGCATAACTAAATCTGATGTACAGTGCCAAATTATGTATGTGGATAGATAGTAATGAATTAATTCAGGATATCATTATGCTTGTATGCATGATATACACACTTTTTGACTTAAATTTCTCTACTTAAGAAGCTATGATTTCCAAATAGCCATTTGTGTTTAAGCATAGGAAATTGTGTCCATAACAGAAAAAAAATACATAAAATTCCAAATGTTTCTGAGCTGAATATTTAATGGGTGATTTTTCTCTAATGTGTAGGACATTCACATTTAACAGACTTTCTCCGGGGACTGATTTTTTAATTAGCATTATGGCTACTAAGGGACTAAAGAGAAGCCATCCTACTGTCCTAATGGTTAGCACTTGTAAGTTCATTTTATATTTAATTAACTTTTCATGGGTTAAGGGAAAATAAGGGAAATTGCTGTGTTTAAGGTCAGTAACTAGTTATGTGTGTGTGCAGGCTCAGTCATGTCTGACTCTGTGACCCCATGGGCTGCTGCCCACCAGGCTCTCATCCATGGAATTTTCCAGGCAAGAATACTGGAGTGGGTTGCCATTTCCTTCTCCAGGGGGTCTTCCCAATCCAGGAATCAAACCTATGGCTCTTGCATCTCCTGTATTGGCAGACAGATTCTTTACCACTGGCGCCACCTGGGAAGCCCCAATATCTAGTTAACCATCAATTAAAATAGAATCAGTTTACGATGCTATGGCTTGAAGAGATGGGCATTTCACTTACGTGGAGAATGCCTGAATTATAGTCCTTTCTCTGTCATTTATTGTGACCTTGGGCAAAACTATGCAGTTCTCACCTAAACAATGAGAATAATTATTCCTGCCTGGGTATAAACTCTTGTTACTAAAATCAAATGCAAAGCTTTTTGTGAAAAGTTCAGAGTACTCTAAAACCGTAAGGTATTGTCATCATGAAATACTTAATATTTTTCTAATATTCTGACTATATCTATTAACTATATCATTTTATGAAAAACGAAACTCTGAAACTAGAAAGAATAGATGATGTCTTTTCAATTGCATTTATTGGGTTCAGTTTGCATCCTCTGACCTCGTTAGCATTGCTTACGTGTCTGCCTGCCCTGAACATATGCGGATGTTCCAAAGCGCCCTGTTACTTGTGGGTCACAGTCACACGAATATGTGCTCAAGTACCCATGCCCAAGTGTGAGAGGAGGCTTCATATCAAGGTTTGAGGTGTGGAGGAAGGGAAAGCACTGGAAAATGCAGCAATAAACAATTCTGGAAAACAAACTAAAAAAGTCTGAGCACTTATCGTACCCCAGCATGGTGACTGTGCTGTGCTAAGTCGCTTCAGTTGTGTCTGACTGTGCACCCCTATGAACTGTAGCCTGCCAGTTTCCCTGTCCATGGGATTCTCCAGGCAAGAATACTGGCACAGATTGCCCTTCCCTTCTCCAGAGGATCTCCCTGACCCAGGGATCGAACCGTCATGTCTTACATCTAACCTGCATTGGTAGGCGGGTTCTTTACCACTAGGGCTACCTGGGAAGCCCAGGTGCTTAAGTCACTATGTTTAATCTCCCTGCGTGACCTAAATTGTAGGTTAAGGCTCAGAGGTGTGAGATTTAACCCAGGTATCTAACTCTCAGACTGAGACGACACTCTGCTGCCTCTCACAAAGATCATCCTAAAACATCAGAAATAGATGAGAAAAGGCATTTTTTTAAAAAAAGCCTTTGTGTCGTTTTGTCTCAGGGAAAGCATCTTAGGTCGCTGCCTGGATTTGTTTGTGTTATTATCATTGTCCCCGTCGTCATCTCCATCGTCATCTCCATCGTCATCCTCGCCATCACTCTGGGTATCCGAGTGCTTGTTCTTTGTCGGGGGCTTTGCTAAGCACTTTCTGTGCTATTTGTCACTTAGTTCTCAGTCATGACCTTCACAACCTTCGTTCTACCAATCATGATAAGATGCATTTTTCATTTTTTACAGATGAGGAAACTGAGGTTTAGAGAATTTCAGTAGCTTCTATGGGATGATAGAGCTTCGAACCCGCATTTCCCTGACATTACATTCTGTCCTTGTAACCACTCTGCTTTCGTGGAAAGGCCACTGTGACATAGGAAGGACTCTGACCCTCCCATTCCTGGCTCTTTGGCTTTGTATCACTATTTGTATCACTATTGGACCTCAAGCTCATTGTTTCTACCCTGGGATTAACAGTACATTCTGCGTTTTAAGAGGGTTTTGCTTTGTCTATGTTTTCCCAAACAAACCTGGCAAACTTCCCCCCGTCTCCACACTCTCTCCACTTTATAATTTGACTTTTGTCTTCCACTGTCAATTAGTATTTTTTGGCCTTTTTATGCCTCTCCTTTTTTGCAAGCCACCTCAAATCCATTTGGGAGCAGATAGAATATAAATAATTATATGAAATAAACCTAGATATATCATGGGAATATGGGGGGATGGTAAGTGGTTATTAATAATTCCAGCTGAAAGGGAATATGCATAAAAGAAAAATAGAATAAAAAAGGATTGTAAATCAGTGACACAGGTTTAAATTTACCACTGATTGAATTCATATGAACTTAAATCTATAAGTAAGGAAAAAAATTCCTATAAAATTTGAATTTTAGAGGTGAGATTATTCCAATAAAATTTTAGCATTATATTTCTTCCAGTTAAGGAAAGAAATGTCATGCTTCTGTTTGAAATATAAATTAGAAATAGGGATGTAATACTGGTTTGAAAGGTAAGTTTCTAGAACCTCCTCAGATAAATGTTTAAAGGAAAAAGGAGTTTGGAAACTTAAGGGGGTTAGATATATCTCTTAATTTATGCAGTGCATAAAATTCTCAGTTAAAATTCTCACTTCTAATAATTTCATATTGAATTCTGCTATGAGAAGAATAAATATGAAATCCATATAATTTTATTGTGAAAAAAGGCTTTCTAGAAAATGTTTTCCTCTTCCACCATTGTAGAGATGAGGGGACTGAGACTCTCACATAGCGCTAAAGCTGACTAGAGAAACCTAATTATCCTGCCTCTCTTCCGTAGTGCGAGGGCCAGTATAGATAACATGATGATAGAAATGTTTGCTTGTTTCTTGTTTTTAAGATTTCTTTTCATATTTTATTTCCTTTTCCTAGATCCAGACCCACCGTCAGATTTACTGATTTTGGGGCAGGAAGAAAACACAATATATTTGTCCTGGAAACTCCCACAAGGAGGTTTTGAGAAGTTCCAGGTAAAGCTGCTGTTATGCAACCTTGATGTTTTTTGAAGTATTTAGTTCACTCTTTTTTGTCCTTCATTTTACATTAATAACTTAAGAAATTATGATGCCTCTCCTTTACTGTAAGGTTTTCCTCCAAAATAAGTTTTCTATTTGTTGCTTTATAAATACAAAATTACCATGGGAGTTTTTCAAATTTGAGTAAAAGCTGGTGCTTGACTTTAAGTGTTCGGGTTTTCCAATGGAGACAGACGCGTGCATGTGTAGTACAAAGCCGTGAATAAAGAAGTGAGGGTGCTGAAGGACAGAGCTTCTGTGACAGCACGGGTCACAGCAAAGATTCCAGAAGTTAAATCTGGGTGATGTGCCCCATCTTCCTTTCAGCTCTATCCTACAGATTTAGTTGAGTGGAGACTTGCAGCCCAGAGGGTAGGAGAGAAAGAGCTACAGAGAAGCTCCTTTTTAATTGTCTGTGATATAAATGCATGCATTTTTTGATGCTCTTTGTTGTTAATAATGTAACCTGGTGTCAAGTGAGGATATATTATATACACCCTGCATCCTGCATTGTATGGTTTTCAGAGCCAGTAAGCTTCTGGAGATAGCATTTTTTTTTTGTTTTAAAATTATTTATCTATTTAAAGAATTATTTATTTGACTGTGCCAGGTCTTCAGTCTTCATTATGGCATGTGGGATCTTTAGATGCAGCTTGTGAACTCTTAGCTGCAGCATGTGAATTCTTGTTGCACCATGTGGAATCCAGTCCCCTGACCAGGGATTAAACCCAGCCCCCACCTTGAACTGGGGGCTCAGTGTCTTAGCCACCAGACCACCAGGGAAATCCTTGGGGATAGCACTGTTGCTTTGTAATCTATGGGGGCAAACAAGTTTTCCACACTTTCATAGTAGTAGGAGATGGTGATTTTAGTTATAAAGAACAGAAAACAACCTAAAATAGTTAAGAAATAAACATTAATCATATTAATGAAAGAGTGCCTCATGGAGACAAAGGCAAAGACTACAACTGGGTGTTTGGAAAAATCAGAATCAGATATTTAAGGCCATTGAGATCACAGGGATTGTTTTCTTAATGTCTGTCTACTTCCTTCTGCTCATTAGCCTTAGTTTATTTTTACTTATTTTTCCTGGTGACCAACTTTCTCTGCTAAGCAATCCATGTGATGAGTGGAAGAATGCCATGTACAACTTCTAAGCATAAATGATACATTATGAGCCACAGAAAAGACAGATGCTCCTTAAATTCCCAAGGAAGGGACTGTGATTATTCCAAATATTAGACACCCAGTCCAGTTTCAGTCAACTGTTGTTGCGGGCCCCATGTCATGTGAAAATGGTGGCTCTGGATCAGTGGATGGTGGGGGTTATAGAGTCATTAGAATTTGAACAACAAAAGGTGTTTCCTGAAAGTAAAAAGCAATATAGAATTTAATAATTTATAGAATCAATACATCTAAAAGGAACCAGAGCAGTAAAATTGCCAGACACTTGAAATGAACTAATTAGTACATCTGAGTTTCATATCCAAGTATGAATTTCTTAACAATTACAGTTCATACCGAGAAACAAGATAATAGTTATTATATGATAGACATAAAAAGAATCCACATTTATTTATTTATAGTAGCTGGTACTAATGGAGAAGGCAACGGCACCCCACTCCAGTACTCTTGCCTGGAAAATCCCATGGACGGAGGAACTTGGTAGGCTGCAGTCCATGGGGTCGCTGAGAGTCAGGCCCAACTGGGCGACTTCACTTTCACTTTTCACTTTCATGCATTGGAGAAGGAAATGACAACCCACTCCAGTGTTCTTGCCTGGAGAACCCCAGGGACGGGGGAGCCTGGTGGGCTGCTGTCTGTGGGGTCGCACAGAGTCGGCCACGACTGAAGTGACTTAGCAGAAGCAGCAGCAGCTGGTACTAAAGACAAAGAGGGTTGTGTAGAAGGCAGAATAAATGACCTTCCAAAGATCCAGCCTAATTTACAGAACCTGAAATATGTTATATTACATGGTAAAGGGGAAGCAGATGGAATTAAATTGGCTAATTAGCAGGTTTTAAAATAGAGAGATTATAGAGAGTCTGGATCCAGATGGTGGAGTAGGAAGACCCTGAGCTCACCTCCTCCCATAGACACGCGAAAACTACAACTACATATAGAATAACTATCTCTGAGAGTCACGTAATGACTAGCAGAACAGATTTTCTACAATTAAGGATGTAAAGAGTAGGCTACATTGAGATGAGTAGGAGGCGCAGAGATGCAGTCTAGCTAGAACCCACACACCCTGCGTGGTAACCCACAAGTGGGGAGTACTGTCCCAACCAGAGAGGTCCCCCTGAGGAGTCAGGGGCCTGAACCCCATGGAAGCCTCCCCAGCCTGCGGGACCTGCATGGGTAGAAGAGCCACATGACATCTGGCTTTGAAAACCAGCAGGGCTTATATCTGGGAAATCGAGAAAGCTGTGGATTATCGAGACGCTCCTGTTGAAGAGCTCTCACACAAACTCACTGATTCTGAGTCCCAGGGAAGAGGCAGTAGCTTGAAAAACAGCTAGGTCATAAGAGAAGATTCATTGACTAGGCTGTGTGCCGGAAGGGTAGGGATCTGGTGGAACTTTCTTTGGGATCGGAAGTACTGGTAGGTGCAGCTTTTTTTTTTTCCTAAACTCTCCTTCCACCTCGCTGGGCAGGCGCTGGCAGACACCACTTCTATCACTCTCTGTCAACCTAACCAACACCATGTGCTCTGTCCCAGTATTCCCTGAGGGTCAGTCCTGCCCATCCATCCACCGTGGCTAGATTCTCCAAAGTGACTCCTAACCTGTTCCAGATAGCAGGTGGATTTGGACGGCCCCAGTGCCCCTCCCAAGCAACCCCCGCCTGGGGGTCAGTTCTGTACAACAGTATACTTGGAGCAGTTGCAGCTGGGCCTCACAGCTAGTCACACTGGGGACTGGTCCCACCCCCTGGTGGACCTGCAGAGAGCAGGACCCAACCACAAAAGGAGGGCACACGCAGCTCACATGGGAGATACTCAGGCGCATCTGGCTCTGGTGACCAGGGAGGACTGTGCCACTGAATGTCACGGAAAACCTTCCCAATAAAGCCACTCTTTCAAGACTGGGAGATGTAACTGCTATATCTGATTGTTGTTGTTCAGTCCCTGAGTCGTGTCCAGCTCTTTGCTACCCCATGAACTACAGCACACCAGACTTCCCTGTCCTTTACTGTCTCCCGAAGTTTGCTCAAACTCACATCCACTGAGTCAGTGATACCATCCAACCGTCTCATCCTCTGTTGCCCTCTTCTCCTCTTGCCCTCAATCTTTCCCAGATCAGGGTCTTTTCCAGTGAGTGGGTTCTTGGCTCCAGGTAGCCAAAGTATTAGAGCTTCAGCATCAGTCTTTCCAATGAATATTTAGAGTTGATTTCCTTTAGGATTGACTGGTTTGATCTTTTTGCTGGCCAAGGAATTCTCAAGAGTCTCTTCTCTAGCACCACAATTCAGAAGCATCAATTCTTCGATGCTTCAAAAGCATCAATTCTATTTGTTAGGTAAAGCTAATAAATAGAAACAAACACAGTTAGGGAAACTTGAGGGACAGTGGCAAACCTTTCAAGTGAAGGAACAAGACAAGACTTCAGAAAAATAATTCAATGAAATGGAGACAAACAATTTAACAAAAGGGCGTTGAAAGTAGCAGTCATAAAGATGTGCACTGAACTGAGGAGAAGAACTGATGACTACAGTGATAACTTGAACAACGAGGTAGAAAATATAAAGAAGAACTTGTAAGAATTAAAGACTGCAATAACTGAAATTTAAAATGTACTGGAGAGAATCAACAGTGCATTAGAGGATACAGAAGAGTGGATCAGCAGTCTGAAAGACAGGGTAGCAGAAATCACCCAGTCAGGACATAAAAGGAATTTTTAAAAATGAGGGTAACTTAAGGAATGTCTGCAACAACATTAAGCATACCAATATTTATTTTTTTCAAGGGGTCCCAGTGGGAGAAAGTTTGTTCCAGTAGACCTATTTGAAGAAATTAGGGCTGAGAAAAATTTTAACCTGGTAAAGGAACCACGTCCAGAAAACACAGATACCCAGACAAGACGAACTCGAAGAGACCCACGTCAAGACACATTATAATTAGCGTGTCAGAAGTTAGAAATTTAAAAGCAGCACGAGAAAAACTTAAAAGGGAACCCTCCTTTCAACTGATTAATTTTTAGCAGAAACTTTATAGGCCAAAAGGGACTGGCATGATATATTAAAATTACTGAAAGGAAAAAAGAAAAAACTTACAACCAATAATACATTATTTGGCAAGGTTATGAATCAGAAATTAGGAAAGATAAAAAGTTTCCCAAAAGAGCAAAAGCTAAAGAAATTTATCACCACTAAGTAGCCTTACAGACTTCAGTGGTGATCCAGTGGTTTAAGAATCTGCTTGCTAATGCAGGGGACGTGGGTTTGATCCCTGGTCCAGGAAGATTCCACATGCCTTGAGGCAATTAAGCCTCTCCCTTGTCACACAGCCATTGAGTGCTCTTTCTTAAAAGTATTAATAAAATAAAATATCATTCTTTTGCTTAAGAGTTTCGTTTCCTTACCATGGCTTACCATGCTCTGCCTGTCCCTGGTGACCCCGCTAAAACTCCTCCGTTCTTTCCCATCTTAGGAAAGGACCGTGTCCTAAAATCACTTGCTCAGTTAGTTTTGATTCTCCCCATTCCTTCATCCCTCAGTCTATCAGTGGGTTCTGCCACTTCTACTTCTGAAATGGATTCTTAATGTGTCCAGCTCTCTTTATCTCCACTATACCACCCTTGTCCTCATTTCTTAACTGAGACCAACAGCCTTGGTGACAGGTGACAGTCTCTTACCTCCTGATTTTTTTTTTCTTTTAAGATATGTGTGTGTGAATGCTCAGTCATGTTTGACTCCATGGACTGTAGCCTGCCAGACTCCCCTGTCCAAGGGAT